GCCCTCCTGTAGTGGGTTAGTGCCATCGCTTCTGGACCTTTCTGGAGTGGGTGTGGTGGAGGGAACGGTGGGGGCAGAGATTACTCATCTCATGGATGCAGGAAGCGGAGTGGGAGAGAATGGGTGCAGGGGACAAGCTGTCCCTCCCCTTTGAAGCATGTCCCAGGGACCCACTTCCTTCACTGAGGCCCCACCTCCTAATAGTCCATTCAGTAGGAGTGGGTTGGGCAGTCCGTTGATGAGGTTAGTGCCCTCATGAACCAGGGACTGCTCTCTAGCACCCCCAACTGGAGCCAAGTCTTCACTACGTGAGCCTTTTAGGGCAAGACTGCATGCATAATCTGGAGCAGAGGGTGTGACCCCTCCTGCCCCACCCCGGCTGTCACTGCCTTGTTCCTCTATGGCCACCTCACCGTTTACTGTCTAGTGTTTATTAGTTTACCGTCCATTACGTCCTTCCTCGGTCAAGGCGCCGTGCCGGAGTCTACTAACTAAAATGCACCTGCTCTTCCCTCTAGCCCAAGGAGCACCCACCACACGATGATAACGATTCAGTTGCTTCAGGATGCCGAGCGTGAGGAAACACATCCTGACGGGGGCTGCACACTGCGCATGCTCCGGAGATCAGCAATCATCTTAACTACTGACCATGGAGAGAGGACCCGCTGAGGGCCCCAGAGCAGGAGATGCGCTTTAGTTGAATAAAAATCACACATTACACGCATTGTTCTGTCTCGATGCACCACGGTGCTGGGAAAGAGAAGGTTGGCAGCTGGGTTGTGGATCAGTTGGTAGAGTGTTTGCCTAGCATGCACAAAGTCTGGCTTTAATTCCCAGTGCTACATCAAGCCAGACGTGATTGTGCATACCGGTAATCCCAGCACTCCGGAGACAGGAGGGTCAGAAGTTCAAGGTCGTGTCCGTCTATATGGCAAGTTTTGTTGCCAGTCTGGGATTCAAGAGATCCTGTCTCAAAAGAGGATGGGGATGAAATTCTCAAAGAACTGATGAGAATCTGTTGGGGCAAAAGGGAGGGTCGAGGAGAGAAGAAGAGCCCGCATGGTCCTCCCCTCTTCCAGAGAGGCAAGACAGGGGAAGGGCATGGCAGGGAGAAACGGCTTTCTTTGCTTTCAGCTGGAATGCAAGAGTCAGAGGATGGCAGCCAGGTGGTGGACCCGGGAGCCTCAGAGAGGGCCAAGGGACAGGCCACCTACTCCAGCCTGCATCAAGACCAGTGAGGTAAAACAGGTTTCCTTCCTGCAGAACTTCTCAGGACCATCGCTGCTGATGACAGAGAGAGAGATCTAGGAGCCGGATGGGGCAAGTTTGCTGAGCCTTGGTCTAGGAGCGCCCTAGGGATGGATGTACAGAGGGGAGCCAGGTCCTCTGCTTTGCAGAGACTACTCAGGCAGGATGGCTGCTGTCCTTGGTGCCACTTCTGGGAAAGGACTGCTCCTTCCAAGGGGCGGAGGTGAATTTCTTAGGCATGATCTCCTAGTGAGTCTTGAGCTGGTCCCCTTGACATGTGGCATACTACAGGTGGTGTCCTCTTTTTCCTCTCTTGCCCAGCTCTGACGGACAGCCAGAATGGTAGGATGTAACGGCCTGGAACGGCCAGGCCATTAGCGGGAGATGGATCCATTTATTTTTTTGCCTTTGGCAAAAAGCTAAAAACAAACTACTTGACGTGGATGCAGATAGAGAGCTACACCAGGGGCCTGAAGGGAAACACATGCATCTGTCTGGTCCTGAGTGGTTCTGCTTCCTCAGAGCTGAGTGTAGCCCGGGGCCTGGAAGCCAGACCAAGCATCTGCTCTTTGCTTGAAGACTGATAAGCTCATATGAGGCACCTTCACGATGGCATTCTATTTTGGTCCTTTGAACAGAGCATCCAGGGGAAGAGACTGCAGCCCTGGTGAATGAGGTCAGCAAGGCCTGCTGAGTGTCCTGTAGTGGTCACATGGAGTGAGCAACAATGGAGGGCAGTGTATCTGCTCGGATTACATCATTAACTATTTCAGTCATCGGTGCTGAGCATCCAGACCAGACCCGGTCCTGAAGATGCAGAGGCCAGGAGGACCCAGAAACCTCCTGGTGTAGAAAGAACAGCAGGCCCACAGCTGGAGGTTAGATGCCATCAGATGGGTGTTTGGAGAATATTCTTGAGGGCAAAGGGCACCTGTGCCAGTAGATATCCGGGCTCCTGGCAGAACCTGCCCTGAGGTAGATAAATACTGCATGTCCTGTCAGGATTACTATTGCCGAGATGAAACTCCATGACCAAAAGCAAGCTGTTGAGGAAAGGGTTAATAATATGGCTCACACTTCCACACCATAGACTATCACTGAAGGAAGTCAGGACAGGAAACCAAGCAGGGCAGGCACCTGGAGGCAGGAGCTGATGCAGAGGCCATGGAGGGGTGCTGCTTGTTGGCTTTCTCAAAGGCTTGCTCAGCCTTTCTCCCCCACCCCCACCCCCAGATAGGGTTTTTTTTTGTGTGTGTGTAGCTTTGGAGCCTGTCCTGGAATTCGCTCTGTAGACTAAGTTGGCCTTGAACTCACAGAGATCGCCTGTCTTTGACTCCTGAGTGCTGGGATCAAAGGTGTGCGCTGCTGCTGCCGCCGCCACCACCACCACCACCACCACCCAGCTCAGCCTACTTACTTTCTCATAGAACCCAGGACCACCAGCCCAGCGATGGCACCACCCACAATGGGCTGCCCCCCCCATCCATCACTAAGAAAATGCTCTCCAAGTTTGCCTGCAGCCCAGTCTTACGGAGGCATTTTCTTAGTTGGGGCTCCCTCCTCTCAGATGACTCTAGCTTGTGTCAAGTTGACATGAAGCCAGCCAGCACACTGCATGAAAGGACAGACACTGACGTTGATGAGGAAACTGAGGGAGCTGGCTCAGAAAGACACCCTGAGCAGCAGAGAATTCAAAATGCATCAGGGACGTGCCTCGGGGGCTCAGCAGTTAAGAGCATAAACTAGGTCCAGAGGACCCGGGTTCCCTTCCCAGCAACCACACTGGGTGTCTGTAACTCTAGCTCCAGGCCAGGGCCTCTGCAGCGCCGGCAACTATGTGCACACACACATACACATAATTCAAACCAATAAAAAGGAATCTTTAGGGCTGGAGAGATGGCTCAGAGATTAAGAGCACTGGCTGCTCTTTCAGAGGTCCTGAGTTCAATTCCCAGCAACCACATGGTGGCTCACAACCATCTGTAATGAGATCTGGCGCCCTCTTCTGGCCTGCAGACATACATGCAGGCAGAACACTGCATACATAATAAATAAATCTTTTTTTTTTAAAGGAATCTTTAAAAAAGCCATGCCTCAGAAACATCTGTTCAAGACCCGAGCACTTTAGTTTTCTGGACACAAGCTAGGGCCATCTTGGAAGAGGGTCTCTCAGTTGAGAAAATGCCTCCGTCAGATGGGCCTGTAAGCTCGTCTGTGGGGGCATTTTCTTGATTGACTGATGGAGGGCTCAGCCCACTGAGGGCAGTCATCCCTGTGCAGGTGGTCCACGCTTGTATAAGAAAGCAGGTTGAGCGAGTCCGTAGGCAGCACACCTCCATGGTCTCTGCTTCAGTTCCTGCCTCGACTTCCCCTGGTGAAGGGCTGTGACCCGGGACGTGTAAGCCAAATAAACCCTTTCCTTCCCAGGCTGTTTATTCATGACATGGTATCACAGCAACAGGAACCCTGACTGGGACGGCCCACCACCGCTGCTGCTGACCCGGATGGATGCCTGTCACACTGCTACCCACTGCGCCCCCACAAGGGGGCGCTCTCCCTGCGGAGGCGATGTCCACATTGCTGCGAGTATTTCCAGCACTGCGCGCCCACAAGGGGGCGCTCTCCCTGCGGAGGCGATGTCCAGGTGATGCTGTCCACTTGGCTGGCCCAAGGTCACAGACTAATTGCTAGGTAGAGCTCTCCCGCTTCCACGGTGGGATATGGGGGTTGTCTGTAGACGCCGGCAGACACGGAACCTGCTTACATACATGTAAACAACGCACAAAAATGCAAATACTTTTCTGGTTAATTCTGCTTACATACATGTAAACAACACACAAAAATGTAAACACTTTTCTGGTTAATTCAAACAGTAGTGGTTCAGTTGTTTCTTTTCTTTCTCCCCCCCCCCCACCTTACTTTCTCTCCCAAGCATGGATTGGTTTCCTTGCAGGAAGCTTAAAATAAAAATGTGAAGGCTTATAAACGCTGAGCTTCCCTGTGCCTCCAAAGCACGTGTGCATTCTTCCCCGCCCCGCCCCCCTTCCCGGCTTCAGACTCCTTGAGCATAAACTGCATTTCCTGCCTTTGTTTTATTTTTCGGTTTTTGGAGGGTGGGGTGGGGCTGGGGCCTCTCTGTGTAGCTCCAACTGGCCTGGAACGATGTAGACCAAGCCGGCCTCAAACTCACAGAGATCTGCCTGCCTCTGCCTCCCGGGTGGAATGTTGGGATTGAAAGCGTGTGCCATCACGCACGTTCATTTCCTGCCATTTCCCCCTCACCTACAGCTCTGTCTCCACTGATAAGGGCTCAGTTAACAAGTGACTGCTGTTATGGACCTCATTCAGGGATGCACTCTAACACTGAACAGCACTGATGAAAACGTACTCCTGACTCTGAAGGGGCCCAGGAGGTGTGCGGAGGGGGAGATTGCCAGTGTTACAGTGCATGGGAAGGGCACTGGTGTGGTGGATGGGGATAAAACACCAGGCATGTGGTCCAGGAGCCGTTGACCTGTTTATTATTTTCCTATGTGGCCAGTTGATGTTAAGTCAGAAGTCTTACATTTGAGTGAAGACTTGTAGGAGGTAGGGAATGAAGTTCGCCAGACTCCCTCAGGAAGCTGTGTCTGGGGCCCAGGGAAGAGCTAGAGAGGACCAGCCAGAGGCTGGGTCTGGGATAGATGCCTGGGAACAGGAGTGGGCCTGGAGAGGACTTAGCTTTGTGCCTGCTGGGAGTGGGGAACCCACGCCTCTGAGCTCTGGATCTCTGCTTTTCCCACAATGCTTCGTCTGCCCACTTCCGGGTGGATACTGCCCTACGGTCTCCAGCTGTCATCCCATCCCCAGTGTGAGTCTCCTGAGTCACCTCTGTATCTCTCCAGCCCTGCTGTGCTCAGCTGCCGGCCCAGCCCAGATAAACTGCTGTCAGGGGCAAGGCTTCCAGGAGGCAGCCCGGCCTGCCGGGACTGTGAAGGGTGGGTCACTGTGACCTGGGGGAACCTGGGAGAACCTGGGAGAAGGTTCGCAGCCATCATAACAGCTTCTACCCACTGGTGCTCACAGCTTGCTAGACACCACAGGGCTGCCGCTCTCCAGATGCCTCACTGCTGAGCACTAATAGCACATCTGGAGAAAAAAAACCAAATAAGTATTTATTATTACTATGTGCTCAACATCCAGCTTGAGGATCAAGCTCAGGTTGTGGGGCTTGTGACCTAAGTTTTTTTTTCTTTCAAAGATTTATTTATTATGTATACACTGTTTCTGTCTGCACGCATGCCTGCACACCAGAAAAAGTCATTAGATCTCATTACAGATGGGTATAAGCTGCCATGTGGTTGCTGGGAATTGAACCCAGGTCCTCTGGAAGAACAGCCAGTGCTCTTAACCTCTGAGCCATCTCTCCAGCCCTGTGAGCTAAGCTCTCTTGCTGCTGGGCCATCTTGCTGGCCCCAGGGGACCATTTGACATGAGGGAGGTGAAGGAGAGTCAGAGTCCATGCCGGAGAGCAGGAGATCCGCAGAGGGAAGAGTCAGCCCGAGCCTGTGGACTCCAGAGACTCTAACCCAGGCCCTGTCTCTGTCCAGATCACTCCTCCAATGAATCTGACCTGTAAATGTTTCTCATCAGAGGGGTTATGTGACACAAGGAGATATGAGTGTTAATTTTGCCCCAAATTCTACACTGTCAGCTATTAAAATGGCTCTATAAGGTTGGTGCTCATGGTGGCTCATAGCCACCTTTTTCTGACCTCCCGGGCACCAGGCACACACACGTGATGCACATAGACACGCATGCAGGTACAACACTTAATACACAATGCACACACATACACAAATACTCAGATCTAAAAAAAAAAAATTAAAAGTTCATGCTTAGCCAAAGGATGGGGGATGGGTGATAAATGTCTTTAATCCCAGCAGGTGGATGTTTGAGTTCGAGGCCAGCCTGGTCTCCAGAGTGAGTTCCAGGCCAGCCTGGTCTCCAGAGTGAGTTCCAGGCCAGCCTGGTCTCCAGAGTGAGTTCCAGGACAGCTGGGGCTACACAGAGAAATCCTGTCTCCAAAAAGGAAATCCCACATGACTGGCTGAGTCAAGGGCATCTAGTGGATGAGTAACAGGGACATTTCAGCCTCTCCCGTTAGGTCTTTCGCTCTGTCCCACTGGCCACTCTTGCAGGAACACTTCTGGGAAGCTCATCATTGCGTCACTGTAAGGCTGATTTTCCTGGGTTTTGCCTCCCACTCACCATTTAGCTAAGATGAGCGGGTAGTCAGAGTGGCCATAGGCGTCTCATCCATCCCAATCTGACTAAGACCTTCCTTCCTCCCCTCTCGCAGAGGGATTTCTATCCTGCTAGCAAATCTTTGTACAGGTTGTTCCGGGTCTTCTAGTGCAGAATAACTTTGGAGTCCACTCCCTTCTCCCACCCTGTAAACACACACTTCGTATTAGAGAGAAGTTACTAGCAGAGACTCGGTAGAGGGCTAGCCCCGGGGTTCAATTCCCAGCACCATATAGACCAGGTATGACGTAAACCAGGCATAGTGGCACATACTTGTGATCTTAATACCTGGGGGGTGAGGACGGGAAGAGCAGGGTTTTATTTGTTTTCTAAGACAAGGTTTCTTTCTCTATGTAACAGCCTTGGCTGTTCTGGAACTTGCTCTGTAGACCAGGCTGGCCTCAAACTCAGAGATCTACCTGCTTCTGCTTCCCAAGTGCTGGAATTAAAGGCATGCACCACCACCACCCAGCAAAGATCCTGTCTTAAATAAATAAATAAGGATTTTTTTTTTTAAAAGACTAAAGTGTTGGGGCTGGAGAGATGGCTCAGTGACCAAGAACACTTGACACTCTTGCGGAGAACCTGAGTTCAGTTCTCCACACCAACATGGTGGGTCACAGTGGCTGTTAACTCCAGTTCCAAGGGATCCAGTACCTTTTTCTGGCCTCTCTAGGCATACATACATGTAGGCAAAATACTCATACACATACAATAAAATAAATCTAAAATAAAATAAGAAGAAACTAATCTGTAAGCTAAGTATGGTGACGCACACCTTTGATCCATGAGTCAGAGGCAGCCAGATCTCTGTGAGTTCAAGGTCAGCCTGGTCTACATAATGAGCTCTAGGTTAGCCAGGGCTACCTAGTGAGATCCTGCTTTAAACCAGTCAGTAGTGGTGCATGCCTTTAATCTCGGCACTCAGGAGGCAGAGGCAGGTGGACTTCTGTGAGTTCAAGGCCAGCCTGGGCTACAGATCGAGCTCCAGGACAGCCAGGGCTACACAGAGAAACCCTGTCTAGAACCTCCCTTCCCCCGAAATAAACAAATGTTATTGTAGATGACGCCCTCTTACTCTTCATCATTTTGACAGTTGATCCTAACATTAAATCTATTCTCCAACACCACAATGCTATATTTATACCCAAGAAGAGTAACCACTTGCTGTATAATCTAGTATTCAGTTGTGGAAGAAATGTGAGGGGCCAAGATCAGACTGGAGTTGCTTGTGGCAGCCCTGACCAATGCAGAGGCAGGAGGCTGCGGAGGAAGGGGCTTGGACTAGCACGGCACGTGCCGTCGGAACCACAAGCGGGCAGAGGCCACCTCAACCTCGCACAAAAGTACTTCTGTAAGCACAGCTCAGTGTTCGGCCTTGGCCTCTCCTCTTACTGTTAGTCGCTTTGGCAACAGATTATTATCTTAATAATGTGTGATGGTGTCCTAGGATGTTGGATCCCCTGGAACTAGTTTTGGATGGTTGTGGGCCACCACGTGGGTGATGGGGACCAAACCCATGTCCTCTGAGAGAGCCACAAGGACTCATAACCACTGAGCCAACTCTCCAACTCCCTAAATTCTTTCTTATTTATTAATTTATTTAGAGATCGGGTCTCACTATATTGCCTGAGCTGGCTTGGAGCTCACTCTGTAGCCCAGGCTGGCCTCTAAATGACAGATCCATCTGCTTCTGCCTCCAAGTGCTGGGGTTAAAGGTGTGGGCCATCTCCCCCTGTTCACGTTTTCTGTACGTTGGGAACATATGGAATGAAAACTGATGTTGCTGTGGTTAGGAGTGACTGCCACCACCTTGGGCACAAGTCATTTTCGAGTGTTCAGAAGAAAGCAGTGAACTTCACACACGCGCAGAAGGCAAACAGTAAATTAGAAACAGCAAATGGACCCTGGTGGACAAACCCTGGAGAATTCACTGTTTCTTGCTTTCTTTTTTATTTTATTTTTTCTGGGGGGACAGGGTCTCTCTATGTAGTCTTGGCTGTCCTGGAACTCACTCCGTAGACCAGGCTGGCCTGGAATTCAGAGATCTGCCTGCCTCTGCCTCCTGAGCGCTGGGATGAAGGGCACACGTCATCCCCCCCTGCTCACTATTTCTGTGTGTTGGGAGCATTCCTAACAAAAAGGTTGTTCCTAACAAAAAGGTTGTGTGTGTGTACGTGTGTCTGGCAGGATGGCTCAGCAGCCAAGCCTACCTCATGAGTTCCATCCCTGGGACCCCGCAGAATAGGTGAGATCCAACTTCCACAAGTTGACCTCTGACCCTCACACTAGTGGGTCCCACCATATCACACAAAATAAATTTCCAAACAACAACAAAAGGAGTCAGAGGGCGTCCAGTGGTGCCACTCAAGGTGCTTTGGGACCTTGGGAAGTTTCCATGTCTCTCTGGCCTTTATTTCCTTATCTATAAAACAGGCCTAAAAATACTATTTTTGAAAGGACCAAGCAGAGGTCATAACAGGCTGCTCAGTCTTCTCTCAGAGATCAGGCCTCAATTTCAGTTTCCTGAGACTTGAGCAAGCAGTTTCTGGGAGGGCCGTGAACAAAAGACATAGTCCTTGCAGTAGCTCCCTTTCTGCACGTACTCTGACTGCTCAAGGTTCAGCCAGTTGTTTACTGCCTGGGACCCCTCACCAGCTTAGTTTACTATCTGGGACCCCTCACCAACTTAGAGCTACGTGCATGGGTCAGTGTGACAGCCTGGGCCACTGAGTCAGGCCCCACAGTCAGAACGCGTTAGGCCAGCCAGCCTCCATGGCCGCTCAAGGCCAAAGCCTGCCCCAAAATGGTTAACTGTAACTCCCAACCAACCCTAGCCAATTAAAAGTTACTAACATGGTTGCCACTCGCATAAACCAATCCTCAGTCTGTTCCTGTGTAGTCTGTAGACTCCAAGGTCCCTTTGCTTTAAAAACCGTGTCCCATTGCTACTGAGGTCTCTTCTGCTGTCAGACTGGCAGAGTCCAGAGTTAACTCTTTGCTTTTGCATGGGATTAGGTCTCTTGGTGGTCTTTGGGGAACTCTGGGTACAACAATTTTCCCTTTTCATCTGGATTTAAAATGTACATGACCGTGCCCAGCTGTACAGGGAGGGGCTGTGGGTGCTGGGTCTACCTTTATGTCATTCTGAGGCAGGCAGCTGAGTGGCTTTGCCTGAAGCCCTTGATCTTCCTGGGTCCTCCGTTTCCCCACCACGGCCAAGCGAGCGCGGGCTGAGGCTTGGCGCGGGGCTTGCAACGTTCAGATTGAAGCGGAGCCGACCAATCACGGAGCAGAGGTCAAAACTGGCGCCCAAGCCAAAGCGTGGAGCTCCTGACAGGTCCGGGCGCCAGGAAGCAGAGGCGGGGCTGCCCATTCAGCTCCGCCGCTTGGCGGCAGGAAGAGGCTCTTCGTAGTTACTACCCGGGAGGAGAGACTGGCGGCGACCTTCCCCTCCTTCTTTCTCCAAGGGATGGGTGTTATTTTAGCAGTCAGGATCTCGTGTGTACTGAGAACACCAGGAG